GCCTATGATGTACTCATTGTTCTCCCGACAGCCGAAAAGGCTGAAAAGCGCGCCGAACTCTTGCAAGCTGCTCGCGGCATGGTCATCATCAAACACCCTTTTGAGCTAGCCTGGAAGATTATACTTGAGTGGCAAGACATTCAAAGCTTCTCGGAGTGGGACCTCAATTTCCTAAAGGACTTTATCGAGTTTTTCCCAGAAGATGGACTTACAAAGATTCTGAAAGGCTTCTTAGCCAGTGACCTCTCCCCATTCCCGAACCAGACGAAAGAGACGAAGGAATCTACGCCCACTGAGGAAGAAACCGAAAACGGAAACGGCGATAATCACGAGCTGGCCGTACAGGATCGCTTGTTGATGATGGTGGAAGGGCTCGAAGCTTCTCGCTCCTCAGTCGTCGCAAATCGCATCATGGGTGAGCTTTATTTGTCGCTCGAAGAATATGATAGCGTTGTGGATGTTGCGCGGAAGGGCCTCGAAAATATCACAGATCTCGCCAGGATGACTGGGGTAAGCCTAGTCAACACTACTGACTGTCTCAACATTCTACTGGCGAATTCTTTGATCTACTACCAGATTCCTCGGCATCACCCCGAAGCTAAAGAAATCTTCGAAGAGATTTTGCAGAGAAAACCAACATCCACAAGCTGTCTGCTGGGTATTGGATTGATTCTTAAGGTCGACGAGGATTATGCTGAAGCCGTCAACTTCTTGGAGCGTGCTCTAGAACGCGACCCGTCTAATCTCAAGATTAGGGGTGAGCTTTCGTGGTGCAAGGCGCTCAACGGGGACCTTGAGACTGGTCTCCATGGCCTTCAGGATGTGCTCGCCGAATTACAAGATGCGGAGTCTCCAAATCGCGACTTTAAGAGCGAGATCCTTTACCGTATAGGTTATTGTCAATGGGAGCTCGATCCATCCCCAACTGCGCGCAAGGATCGCAATGGTGCTTATGCCAGTTTTCTCGGATCCATACAAACCAACATCAACTTTGCCCCTGCATATACCAGCTTGGGTATCTACTATGCGGACTACAAAAAGGACAAAACACGAGCACGCAGGTGCTTTCATAAGGCGTTCGAATTATCCGCGTCGGAAATCGAAGCTGCGGAACGTCTCGCGAGGACCTTCGCAGATCAAAAGGAATGGGATCTGGTTGAAGCCGTGGCTCAGCGCGTCGTTGACTCGGGCAAGGCAAAGCCTGCACCGGGCTCGAAACGAAGAGGCTATAGCTGGCCGTATGCCGCTTTGGGCACCGTTCAAATGAACAAGCAGCAGTATGCCCAAAGCATTGTCTCATTTCAAGCAGCTCTGAGAATCTCACCAGGCGACTACCACTCCTGGGTTGGCCTTGGAGAAAGCTACCACCACTCTGGGAGATATATTGCCTCTACGAAAGCTTTTGATCATGCTCAGCAATTAGAATCAGCTCTTTCACCCGATGAAAGAGAGCATATTTGGTTCGCAAGATACATGCTGGCAAATGTAAAACGGGAGCTCGGTGAATTTGAAGATGCTATTTCACGCTATGAGAATGTTTTGAAGTTCCGACCGAACGAGTTTGGGGTGACCATTGCGTTGCTTCAGACTCTCACAGAAAGTTCCTGGAAAAGCCTCGAATTAGGCTTGTACAATGACTCTGTCGAACTGGCGCGCAAGGCTATAGTCGTTGCGGCATCGCTTGCGAAGGAACGTGTGGACATCTTCAATCTGTGGAAGGCCGTTGGCGACGCCTGCTCTATGTTCTCTTACGTCAAAGGAAAGGCGAGCAAGTTCCCAGTTCAGGAAGTGAGGGTGCTGCTTACAACTCAAGTTGAGCCCTCGGCTTTCGATATTTTTGCGGAAATAGACGAGCTTGGACAAGGCTGTTTGTCGCTGCTCGAAGATGAGGTTAGTGATAACGTCACTCCATCAGATAAGTGTATATATGCCTCGATTCTTGCATACAAGAGAGCTATTCATGTCTCGGCGCAAGATGTACATGCTCAAGCAGTTGCCTGGTACAATCTGGGATGGGCAGAATACAGGGCTTTCAGGTGTGTGCAGGTGCACTCTGGCAACAGGGGCAAGAAGCAGACACGCCGGTTTCTGAAGACAGCAATGCGCTGCTTCAAGAGAGCAATTGAATTGGAAGCCGGCAATTCAGAATTTTGGAACGCTCTGGGCGTGGCAACTACAAATATGAGCCCGAAGGTTGCCCAGCATGCTTTTGTGAGAAGTTTGCATTTGAACGAGAGAAGCGCACAAGTTTGGACTAATCTAGGAACGCTTTACCTCATTCACAATGATGTTCAACTCGCCAACGAAGCTTTCACACGCGCGCAATCGACCGATCCGGACTACTCTCTGGCATGGGTCGGCCAAGGGTTCCTGGCTTTGCTCTTTGGGGACCCACATGAAGCAAGAGGCCTTTTTGAGCATGCCTTCGACATCTCCAACTCCTCATCCACATTGCCGAAATGTCAGTATACACTCACCTTGTTCGACCACCTCCTCTCGGACTCTTCAGCATCGAATGAGATTTCACAGCTCATCCAGCCATTTTTCGCGCTCCTGCAACTTTCCTCTCAAGACCCGTCCAATTTACAGTTTATGCATCTTGTTTCGCTCATGGCCGAGAGAATTGGCGAGCTTTCAGATGCGGAGACTAGCTTGCAAGTCGTCTGTTCTGGGGTCGAGGCGGAATATGAGGTGTCTGAATCGACCTCGTCGCTCTCTAGATATGCACAGTCGAATGCAGATATGGCCCGTGTCCTTCTTGCTCGCCAAGAATTTGAGCAAGCAGCAGAGAAAGCGGAAATGGCACTCACTCTGTCCGGTGAAGAGGACGCAGAGAAATTCGACCCGGAGGCAAACAGGAAACTACGTCTATCAGCTCACCTCACTGCTGGATTGGCGCATTATTACTTGAAGTCAATGGATAACGCGATTGACATGTTCCGTGACGCCCTGCAAGAGGCAGATAATGCACCGGAGGTGGTATGTCTTCTAGCACAAGTTCTATGGGCCAAGGGTGGTGATGAAGAGCGGACTGTGGCTCGCCAGCAGCTGTTTGACTGTGTGGAAGAACACTCTGATCATGTTGGGGCGGTGTCACTTCTGGGAACCATTGCGCTACTAGATGACGACAAGGACATAATTGAAGCAGTTGCTTCAGATCTTCAGAACATGATCACAAGAGATGATATTGATATCCACGACCGGGCTAGGTTGACTAAGCTGTTGACAGCGATCTCTAGTTTGGGCTTGACTGAGGACTCCCAAATTCCCGAAGACCTCAGACGCCTTGGAGAGGCTACGGCTGCCGTCATGAGGTCGCCAGGTCAGCCACAAGGCTGGCAGGAGTTAGCAGCAGCATCTCAGGAACTGTATCCCGCGGAGATGGCCGCCGACAGAGCGTTGCGAAGCGTTCCACCCCGGAGCAATCTGGATGCTGTCGACCTCTGTGAAGCATATGCACAGACTGGCAAGACGGGTGATGCCATCAAGGCGATTATGGTCGCACCGTGGAAGCAATGTGGCTGGGAAGAGCTCAAGTATGCTGTGTCAGGATTAGCCTAATCCCTTTGACCGACCTAAGGGAATGCTGTACTGTAGATATTAGACACTTTAGATGCTTAGGAATACATACCTTGCATACACGATCAATAAATGCCAGGATTATGCTTTGAGAGTAAAGCAGGCCTTGATTTCGGGCGCTTTCCGGTCAAGGTAGAGTCATAGTAAGGTTATCCGGTCGCAATTCCTGTAGAATGAATGACACCCTCCCTCGGTTCCAGCAAGACCACACAAGTCCACAGATGCACAAGGACATTCACATTCAGGAAAGGCATACAATCTACCCTGGTGGATGAAGCCATGGGCATAATCGATTATTATGATAGGGGTACTTGAAGTGCAGAGTTAGGTGACCCAGGCCTTTCTTCACAAACGGAGATTGTGCAGAGAAAGTCATTAGATCTCCGGGAGGTGTCGTTTCAGAGCCACTTGGATATTATGTTTCCGATCACAACGCCTGCGACCTTTCCATCTCTGTAATCCGAGCCATTAACTTGGCCTTCCTTCCCTCTTTCCAAGCTTGGTCCAAGGTCTCAATCTTGCCTCCAAGCAGGGTAACAGACTCAGGCGTCAGTAAGATCATACCCCGGGCGACCGTCACATCACGCAACAGCAGTTTCGCGCCAATGGGTATCTTACCCAGTCCAATGCCTTCGATGCGTTTCAGCTCGATAGCTACGGCTCGAAGCCCTGCCGCATCCTGTAATATCAATCGATGAGGGCCGTTGCTATTACTTCCAGGTCCGCTTGCCGCAGAATTTGCGGCCCTGTTATTACCAGTACTTGCTGCGCGCTCCTCACTGGCTTCGTCCACGTTGACTGTCCGCACGATCTCGCGTCCCCGAATAGCCTCACCGCGTTCAATGCGCTCAATTGCTTCAACTTGACTCCATAAGCTTGTTCCGATGTCTTCTATATCCACGATTTGCAAGGGGATCGGGCCTTGGAGACGCCTTTCTTGAACGGAAGCATCGGATATATCAATGGGGAGTAGGGACGACGGTGTCCTTGTTGACAGCGATTCTCGGAAATCTGAAGCAAGAATACGAAATAGAGCGGTCCGAACTAGGGCGGAGAGCGGGACATTGCGTTGTGATGCTGTCGATGAGGAGATGAAGTTGGTCAGCCAGGATGGAGAGACGGGGAGGGATTTGCTGTTGAGTAGTTCGGCAGATATTTGCGCTTGGACATTCGCCATCTTGGTTCCAGGTCAATCAGCAGATGTAGGAGGATATACAAATTGTGTCATGCTCATTTTGATTGCACGTATCGCAAGCCGATTAATATCTGAAACCTGAAGCTGTTCTCAATTTCTGATTGAATTTAGTTCGGGGAAAGCACAGACCACTGCTTAACTCCGTCTCCTATGATCCTACCAATATCACTTCACAATCACTTTGGCCTCTTTCTCTCATCACCAAAAGTCCTACCCTGCCTTCATCATGTCGACACTCTCATCTCCCCGTCCGTCGATCGCTTCCTCTCGTGCACACTCACCGACTCCAGCATCATCACGCCGTCCATCTCTCGACACTTTGAATACGAATGTCGGCGGAGGTCTCAGTGCCTCGTCTACTCCCTCTACAGCCCGAGCCGTCTCTCCATCTCTCCATCCAAGACGCAATCGCACCGCTCTTCGGGACTACTACAATTTAAGACATTCCGCTGCCGATCCCTCAGGCAATGGAAGCAACTTCCGCTCCCGCAGCATCCCCAGACACACCGATGCCGGGGACATGTCCAGTCCGTCATCAGTGGTAGCTACAGGAACAGAATTGGATAGCCCGGACTTCGACCCTCAGCGTTACGTTAATCACCTGTTGGCTACTTCTTCATTGTCGACTGTGCTCAAGGCGGAGAACACTCTTGTTGGCGATATCAAAACACTTGACAGTGAGCGCAAGGCACTTGTCTATGACAACTACTCGAAGCTGATCCGGGCGGTGGAAACAATTGGCAAGATGCGTCAAAGTATGGACGAGCGTGGGGCACCTCTGACTATGACGAAGACTCTTGGTCCGGCTATTGCATTTGTGGCCGAAACGGCCACAGGTCTGATACAGGAAGGCGAAGAGCAGCAGCGGCGCATGCGAGAGGCCAAGGCTACAGACGAAACGGACCGCCGAAAGGCAGAAAAGGCAACGGTACAGTGGGTTCTTGGAGCACCAAGTTGGCTAGAGAAGCTTCTGTCAGAGGGCAATGAGGATGAGGCCACCAATGACTGGGAGGAAATACGGAACCTGCTTGATAAGTGGGAGGGCGTTAGAGGGGTGGCTGAGATTCGCCAGGCTTGCGAGAAGGTCATGAAACGCGATGAAGCCCCTTGAGCAATCAAGAAAGCACTGTCTCTCACCGAAAGATTGTGTTGAATGAGATCAACACCTCTTCATCCCGCACATGAGCATACATTATGCCCGTTCATTAATTATGACCCGATCTGACCCGATCATCTGACATTGACACCCCTCAATCAATCATTACATGCACAGCCACACTGGGACGTGTGACTATGTTGGTGTTTTCCTCATGCTAAGTCAACTCTTGCTTGCCTAGGACCCACCCTCAGGATGCCTTGGGAATCAGCTCCATCTACAAGGATCATGAGGACATTCAGCTAAAGTGGGAGCAGCTCATACGCATGAGTCCCGTGAATATTTACAGCATCTGAACAATTCATGTGATATTCGATTGCACGACGCTATCGGTACAGCTCGCTGGTCGTTGAGCCAGGCAAAGGTTAGCCATGTATTCCTAACTCAGTTATTGGCCTGTTGCAGAGCGAAGCTTTGCACACCATGGAGATTAAGGAGAGGAGAAACCCCAGGCATTGGGCGTACTGCCCCAAACAATGCCTTGGTTTGATCCTCGAGTCTATGCATGCTTTATGCATTCATCTATGCGGGATCGATGCATTCGTCTATGCATGACTTATGCGCTTATCCATGCTCGATTAGTTGCGAGACTTCATAGCAATAGCCAGGTCGAATGGTGAAGTGGGCTGCACTTCTTGACAGCAACATTGAAATTGACCTTGTCTCACAGTCGCTCGACCTGCGCACGTAGTGACCGTGTAAGGCTTACTATCCACGCACATTGATGTCATGAGCCCGACATCTTCTGAGATTACGGTATCGCCTACGCCGGTGAAATAGCATCTTCCAACATCAGTGTAGAACTATGTGTACACCCTGGCCTACCTCATGCCTTTTCAGGTCTGCGCACCGCACCTTGAGGTGACGAAGCGAGCCACGGCAGACCATTTTTTACGGCTATCAGGACCCTTTGGATTTCAAAGACTCCTCGGCAGAGATTCTATAAGGGATTTTTCGCATATCACGACCCTAGGGCTCGGTAAGGCGTTCCTTTCCTGGAAGTTGGTGCACATCGCCCGTCTATTGAGCAGGAAACTTTGACAGTCAAGCTGTCAGTCATCCTGTCAGCATGCTCAGGGGTTCTCCTCAATCTAATTCACCCCCTTCCATCTAATCACCTTACCTTTCATCCAGGCCCTCTGCGGTCATGAATGTAAGCATCTGTTTGCTGGGGGTGTTCCTCGTTGGTCAGCCCCATAGTGGGAGTGTTTTCATGCTTTCCATAAATTCTTGCCACTCACTTGGTACCCCTGTACAATTTTTAAATTGCCTATTCAGGAAGTGTATCTGGCTTCATTCTTCATTCCTTGGTTGTGGGTTACTACACTCAGGTCACATGGCCAATAGTACGCTAAATCGCCCTACGGATTTTGTGTAACAGCCCAGTAGGCTGTATTATCAACCACCGTGTCAATGCAATCGAATCGAACCGTCATGATAGCATGGAGTACACGCTTCAGGCGGGTCAATCGCATATCGTAAGGTAGCAATCTGTTGTTGTAAGCGGTGTGATTGTGAAGCTGGCCCCTCCGAGTCGGTGTGGTGATTGGAGCGGGAGCGCGTGGAATTTTTCTGAAGCTTTCTTTGGCAGTTTTGGGTCTTCCCGCTTTCCCCAAGAAATCCATCCAACAACTCCCGCCCGCCTCAAGCACAATAATATACTACCTTAAGTTAACGATAAGACCTCGAGGCACTGTTGAGGAGTGAGGGCAGATACATTCCTCACGTGGTCTTGGCGAAATAAGGAGAAATAACGACAGTCGCAGACCTCACTCATCTTTAAGCAGGCATCTGCGGAGGGCAGAATCGGTGAATCGCGGTGGTCATTCTGCCCGCCATACAACAACATCAAAACCACTCGTTTATCGTTTTCTTTTTCTTGGAATAATTCTGAAGAAAGAGAAGGCTGCGCAGAAAGCGTGAATGATGCGGGAATTGTCAGTGCAGCCTGAATTGGAAGTGAGCGCTTAAAGAATCCAGTGGGCACTCAGACCTTCCTTCCTTTTCTGGGCCCATCATTATATAGAGACCACCGTTGGCCTCTGGTCGTGGTCGACGAAATGGCCGCCCAAGATGAGCTCTCAGAAGGCGGCATGGCTGACCTCATTCGGGCACTGGAGCTCATTCACAGCCCTTCGTCGACAAATGAACTCCGCAGGCAAGCCCTGACCTTCGTGGAGTCTCAAAAGGAAAGCAAGCTAGCTGCTCGTAATGGGTTTCTTCTGGCTTCACGGATAGAAAACGCTCCCTTGGTCCGCTATTTTGGCTTGACGCTTTTGGATCATGTACTGCGTCACACGTCTTTCACCTCCACAGATCAGGTGGCTATCCTCAGAGACTTTGTTCTCAAGCTTGCCGAGTCAATCCGGTCCGAGGATCCGGCCTATTACCGCAACAAGATCCCTCAGTTATGGGCCGAGATCGCCAAGAGAAGCTGGGGCTTAGACTGGTCGGCAATGGACGACATTCTTGTGCAGTTTTGGGGAGCCAGTCTTGTGCACAAGGAACTAGTTCTGTCTATCCTGGAAACATTGTCAGAAGACATCTTCTATCGCGAAGATACCGTCTCATCCTTGCGAGGGACAGATCTCAACAGAGCGTTGGTGGAGATCTGCACACCGCTGTCAGTCTTTGAGGAAATCTATCCAAGGCGGGAGCAACATGTTGAGCTTCGGTGTGGGACTGAGGGCTGGGTCGCAAGGACATGCGAGTTTCTCATCTACTGTGTTGAGAACCTGCAAGCCTCCACGCAGGCCAGAGACGCAGCGCTCAAAGCTCTTGCGACATTGAAGTCCATCTTGGTCTGGGCAATTCCCAAGGCCATCATATCCTCAAATTGTGTCTCGAGTATCGCAAGGGCGCTCACCTGCAACGATGAGCAGGTGTTGTTGGTAAGGACACCTCGACCTTTTTTTCCGCAGCAGTAAATGAGCGATGCTGAACTCTTAATCCAGGCTGCCGTCGAAGCGCTGCATGCTCTTTATAGCAGGTCGAATTTTGAAATCGAAGACTTCCAGCCTCTTGTACACTTGATGTACGAAACAGAGTACTTAACGCTTCTACAGAAATTGTACGAATGGTCCATCGTTGGACCTGACGACATCGATGATACCAGGTACACGATTTCGAAAAAGCTATCCGAGGTAAGAGCTTCTCAACCCAGATGGTCGCTATGGTCTCATGCTAATCTGTCCGATAGATGCTCTCGTACGTTGCGGGGTTCCTTGAGGAGAAGGGCTTCTCTCTCGAGACCGCACATGGCATGAACCTCACTTTCTTTTTCCACCTCCTGATCAGCGTCATTCAGAACCAAAGCTTGACCGTCTCGATACCTGTCCTTCACGTATGGTGCAAACTGCTTGCCTCCGAGAGGATCGGGAACACAGATCTGGTGACTGGGTTGATTCCTCCTTTGCTTAGCATATGTACTGAGCGACTGATCCGTTGGGAATCCCTACCAGCGGACTCTGAGAATCCTACAGTACTCTTTCTGAATGAAGACATTGATACTGTCCCGGAACGGCACGCTTTTGTTGGAAATTACAGAAGATATTGCTCGTCCATCATCGAGACCATTGTTCAGAAAAGACCACAAGATGCTATTCCACATATCCTCGCGGGCGTTGATGGAAACTTGGACAATCTTTACAATGGGGTCGAGCCATTTAATGGTAAGTTGTGGCGGGTTCTGTAGGTGAAGGTTTATTCTAACTTAGGCGCCCAGTGAAAACATTCTCCAAGAACTCTCTTCCGTTGATGCGCGCCGACACTCAGTTCGCTGTTGTGGAAGCTACCCTCAAGGGCTATAACAAATGGGTTTCAGCTCATGGCAAAATGCCTCAGCAGGATGTATGTTGCTTGCGGTGTCGGCACTTTTGCGGATCTAATATATTGAACAGGAGCAGAAACGAATAGATTTAGAAAGCGCGCTTGAGACGTGGGCTTTGAGTTTGATGCAGAGAAACTACGAGGTTCGCCTCTATCTTCTTCTTCATCGGTGACTACTTGACTAACTGTCTACTGAAGGACCCTATTTTGAAACAGCGTATAATCAAGCTTATCGTTGACATCTCATCCAGAGCTCTTGACAAGAATCCCAGTTTTTCACTTAAAGTCCTTGAGCATATTCTCATGACGCGTCTTCCTGACTTGGTCGAGTACCCGGCTTACTCTGAAGCTGTGAAGGAACTGCATGGTCTGGCCAGCCATGAACTCCGACGTCTGGCCATGCGCTATGCTGACTATTTCTCTGTGAGTTGTATTGCAACGGCTTTGAAATACTTTTTTCCTAACAAGAAACTGGAAGACATTCTACGATTTGCTTGAGCCGAAAATCAAGGAAATCACCATGGCCAACAGGGTGGACGACAAGCTTCACATGGAACATACCTCAATACTCCTCATTATCATGTATGATACCTTAAATCCCCTTTCCGTCCTCGTAGCTCTAGACTTACTTGCTTAGGCAACGTGCCAACAACGTCGATCCATATCTGCGTGAAACCCGGCTGAAGTCCTTTCTGGAGCCTATCAGGCAAGCCTGGCAAGAAGAAGAATTTCGGAGCACGAGCTCCTCCTTCGAAGGCTTCTGTGGCATGCTTGGGCTGCAAAGTGTTGGGCCCTATATGCAAAAAAAGCAAGCGCAGAAGCTGGAAGAGTGGTCCGCCGTGCCACTGGATAATGAGGGGAAGCAGATCCAGGAAACCATGACAAGGAAGTTCCAGGTACTGAGTTTGCGCTCCCATTTGGGTCCTAACTTTGACGCTAACCCGCACTCCAGCAACTACCTCTGAGGGGGACGAAGACCATGCTCGCAGTCTCCACGGAGAAAATAAAGAAGACCGAGCTTGCTTATGGTCTTGCGTGCAATATCTGGCACGACATCATTCCCATTATCCTGCCGGTATTGTTACAGCTTGTCAGGCAAGTGCCCCATGCCGGTAGAGGTGCTTAGCTGACATATGTTCCGCAGTAATGCTCATGCCTTCCATAATCCGGCGAACTGGGGTGGCCTGCCTGATGATATGCGAGGGGTCGTTGAACGTATCTTGACCGACAGATTCTGGCAGGCAGGCATATCTACTGGCAGCCGCGATGATTTCTATGCGAAGATCACTGCATCCCGGTCTTCACTCGAAGGGTTCGCTTCCTCCGTGCGAGGTAAGGTTCGAGCTGTTCGGGAATCTTGCTACTCAATGCTGTTCAGCATGAGCAGATTGAGAGAGCATTTTTATGGGTTCGCAGAACTTCCGGGACCGCTGTCGCAAGCTCTTTTTAAAGACTCACCACACTTATCCTCTCACCAATTCTCTGTTCTCCTCAATATTTCCAGGTGCTTGATCGACGATTGCCCTGTCCGTTTCCGAGCACAGTTCCTGCCTCCTATGTTGGCAACGCTCTTCACCAACATTGACAGGAAGGTCACTTCGGAATGGGACCTTATCGAGCAACGCAAGGAGGGACTTGCGGACGGGGATTTGACTGACGAAATGAAATCAGAGAGTATTCTTCGCCAGTTGACTTATTCTGCGGTGCTCATGGTAGCAAGTCTCCTGGATCCTCAAAGAGGCGGTGCGTGATCTAATGTCGTAACAATTTGTTACAGGACGCAAGACTAACGCTCATTGCAGATCCCGACGACGAGCCAGCTGACCCTAGCGCACCGCAGCCACCTCCAGCACTTTCCGACTCGATTCGACACTTTGTTCTTTCTTCGCCGGACATATTCGAACCTGTCATGCTCTTTTGTACACATGCGCTTCGCATGCGCGATACGAGATGCTGTAGCATCATCACTCGTGTTATCAGATCGATCTTGCAGGACTTCGCGCCTCCGAATCACAGTCCAACTATACTCACGATCCGCGAGTTCATTTCCTCGGAAGTTCTCAAGGCCTGCATTACATCTGTGCATGAGCCTTACTTTGTTGACATGCAGAAAGACTTAGCCCAGCTGATTGCGTCAATTTGGGTTCTCTATGGCTCGAGTAGCCCAACACCACGCTCGGTGATCCTCAGCCTTCCCGGAATGAACGAACAGCGGGTGGCAAGTACTGAAGCCGCGCTTCTACGATCTACGGCAGCGCGGCAGCAACGCGCACTCGTGCTAGACCTTCTTGAAGGCCTCAGAGGCGTGAGTATTGCCGAGCAAGGCAAGATTTTGGGCTCCCGGGAAGAACGCCGCAAGGCACGGAGTGCCTTGCAAGAGAGATATATGAGCAACGAGATGGAAGGCCAACAAGATAGTAAAGTCGATATCAATGACGGACCTGATTTGGGTGGTGTGGCCGACATGTTTGGTTAGAAGCATCCGCCAGCAACTGGCCCTCTTCATGTTCGGAACTCCTCGTCCTGTATAGTATTAGAGGCTCGATTCACGATTCCTGCTTGTACTTATTTTCTCCTACAATTACCCTTTCAGTGTTATCAAGAGACTAGAGCTAAATATACGAGTTGAGTCATTCGTGACAACAAGTATGAGCATTCGGTTTTCTGCACACCTATTCGATTTGAGAATATTCACATAACAGCCACAGGCTGGCCTGATACACCTGTTGGACTCGAGGCAAAGGCATGCTTGGAACGAGGAAAAGAAACGAAATGCATTGCAAAACTAGGCAAACTCCCCAGAGGCAATATATCTACAGGATACATTTTTCTTGAAGACTCCCCAGACATCTCTCGACTCCGGTGAAACACCGCTGAGACAAGCGGCATGTAATGAACCACTCAATGCCCTTGGAATCGTGTAATGGCACCACTATCATGACATCTGGCGCAGTCAAGAGACGATTGAGCCTGGCGCCGATAGTAACTCAGCTCGTAACAAATATCATTCCATTTATTGAGTGACCTTGGAAGGGGTATAGACGAAAGTAGGACGAACGAAGCTAAAGCACACGCGAGAGAAACAAAGGTCAGCCAACTATATCACACCAACATCAATCCCACGGGTGCCACGTACCGATCAGAGTTGTAGACCTTGCTCTCCGTACCCAGGAGCTCCTTCTCACGAGCCTTGTCGGCAAAGTGTCTGCGGACCTGGTCACGGTCTTCCTCGGCCTGGAGCAGCGGCACCAGGTGCAGTCGGGACCAGATCTTCTCGCGGGCGAGCTCGTGCTGTTCGCGGATACCGTAGAAGAGCTTGTAGTAGCCGTAGGCCATGAAGAGGTGCATCCCAACGAGGTAGTAGATTGGCCGGAAGCCGCGGGCAGGGAGGTTGCGCTGTGGTTGGTTGGGTTAGTTCAATTGGTGAGCTGGGTTTTGGGTTGGGGAATTCGTGATTGAGCACTTGCCTTGTATTGGACAGGCGCGTAGCCCCCCGATGGGGGCATATCCTGAGGCATTGTGACGACTGGGAAAGATGGAGGTCTGGGGAACAGGCGTATGGAAGATTGGCCGATGATGCTGGCGGACGAAGTTGGAGTGGTGGTCACGTGAGGGCGATTGGGATTGGGTAATGAGGGCTGGTGGTGCTGTGATTGGCTGCGGGAGGGATTTTTCGGTTTCGGGTTTCCCCTCCCAATGAAGTATTAAACTTGGAGCGGGATACATTATTTTGACAGCCAGTACGACAGACATTCGATTACTCGTACTTTGCCCTTACTTGATTAATTGAGATGGAGGATGATGAGCGGCCTAGAAAATACCCCAAATTGGACCACGACAGTACGCGGGAGGAATCAGAACCCGTCATGACCGGCGCTGTGGGAGCCGTTCGCGACAATGACGCTGGGATTGCGGATGCTGACAACCATGCTTCGACGTCGGACAATGGGAACGAGAACGATGTGGAGCAAGCTGGAGCCGGAGAGGGGCAAGAAGCAGACGGAAAAGAGGCACCGCCCGCGATGTCCAAAAATCAATTGAAGAAACTCAAACGAAAAGAGCACTGGGAAGCAATGCGGGAACAGCGCAAAGTGAAACGGAAAGAGAAGCTGGTCGCAAAGAAGGAACGAAGACGAGCCGCTCTAGAACAGGCGAAACAAGAGGGCGCAGAGGCTACAGAAGAAGCTCGAAAGGCATTGGAGACTACACAAAAGAAGTTCCACCGGTCAACTCTGCTCCCGGTCACGCTCGTGCTCGACTGCAGCTACGACGATTTGATGCTGGACAAGGAGCGGATATCCCTCGGTGCTCAGATTACGCGATCCTACTCCGATAACAGTAGGGCCCCCTTCCGCTCGCACCTGGTCATTTCATCTTTCAACAAGTTGCTCAAGGAGCGGTTCGATACGGTGCTGGGAAAGACCCACGAGAACTGGAAGGGTGTTCGGATTCTGCAGGAGGACTTTGCTGAAGCTGCCGAGATGGCAAAGGAGTGGATGCAAGGACCTAAAGGCGGCCAACTGGCTGGTGTTTTCGCTGATAAGGCGGACGCGAAGCCCGAAGATGGAGAGATTGTGTACCTCAGCAGCGACAGTCCCAACATCTTGACGGAATTGAAGCCCTACAGCACATACATAATTGGAGGTCTGGTGGACAAGAACCGCCACAAGGGCATCTGCTATAAATCTGCGGTAGCCAAGGGCATCAAGACCGCCAAGCTACCCATCGGAGAATATATTCAGATGGCTCACCGTCAGGTGCTAGCAACGAACCATGTCGTGGAGATTATGATTCGCTGGCTGGAGCTGGGGGACTGGGGGAAAGCATTTATGCAAGTGATTCCTCAAAGGAAAGGGGGCAAGTTGAAATCAGCAGACCATGAAGCAGACCATGAGTCTGAAGGTCAAACAGCACGGGAGAGTGTGGAAGCCAGTCCAGATGGAGAAGATGCTGCGGAAGAAGCGGGCGAAGCGGACAAAGAGTCTTAGTACTGTTGACCTGCGTGTTTGTACAGGCAACTTAACTCTGTATATATTCTGTCCTATTACGCTATGTACACCACTAATGTATGAATGACCTATCTATCTAAAACAATAATTCCTATGGTAGATATCTAATCCTTATTATGCTTCACCATACTCCAGATATGGCTAGTCTTATCTGCCACTTTGAGCAGCACAGCCACAATATCACGCCACACTGGTTGCCACAGAAGCCGATCGATGACGGCAGATCAACAGAAAGAAAACATGTGGTGATTTTCCTTCTACAAGAGCATCACAAGAGCCAGACATTCAACAGGATCAGTTCTCAGGAAAAGAGATCTGCTGCTGAAACCACCATCATCATTAATATTTACTGGTGATGTTGGGTCTCTTCTATTAAATACTCTTTTTTTTTTTTCAAATTTCGCTCTTTCGTTGTGTTCTCACCCATCATCCCTGACATTGAAATCCCCTTGCCAGCTGCGCGCCTTTAAAAACTAGTAAGGAATAATCAGCCGCTGCTTCTTAGGTAGCAGCCTTTTGAACTCTACAGCTATGTTCATGCTCCGTAATGGTAGGTTCTCTCAAATCTGTCTCTTGTTCCAACATCTATCAACTTATTCACTCTACCCCGCCATCTGCCCCTCCTTACTTTACATCATGTGCATCGTGACATTCAGCTAACTCATTTCGGTGACATCCCAGTGAGCAAGTTCCTGTTTGGAGACACCTCTAAAGAATCCATTATCGAGATCCCTCAAGGCCAGCTGTATTTGGTCCGCCCTCTTTCTCCAAAAGGTTACTCGGAGCTCATCTTCAAAGACGCCGCTGCTACTATTCGACGCACCGGTCAGGAGTTTCAGTACCAACTTGTCGTTCAGCGTGCCTACGAAGAGGGTGAGGAGGAGCTTGCCGATGAGGAGGATGAACAAGGCGCCAGCGACGCTCTAGACAAGGACGAAAAGGTATTCCTGCTTGATCAAAGCTTGCACTTCCGTGTTGAAGTTCGCGAAGGGGGTTCGAAAATCCTAGCTTGGAATGATTTGAGTGGCGACGTCGGTGATCTTTTCGAGTTTGTCTGCGACCCATCTGTGCCAGCGGAGAAAGTCTCCACCTTTGAGTTAGCAGCGTTGCAGTGTCAGTACGAGCGGAAATACAGGAGGAGCGCCCAGCGAGCAACCGAGCAAGAGCTCCAGGAATTCTCCTTCAAGGAAGAGAAGCCAATACCTTCCGCCAGTCCTATTTCCTCTCCAGCCAAATCACGTGCACACTCGGTAGCGTCCGCCGGCGAGTCCGCCGCTGCCATGGCTCGTGATGTCGAGTATTCGCGGTCGAAGGGCCTCATAAAGCCTGTCGGGGAGGGGGAGGAACATACAGTGGCCCCGCCCTCAGCGGCGCAGCCAGAGGCTAAGGAGATTCTCGCCAAGGAAAAGGCAGAATTGCACCTTTTCGACTTCGCCAGCGGAACTTTCATTCTTCAGGATCCTGATGTGGTTGCCACTGTGTCGGAAGTGGGCACCTGGCAGTATTGGCTGCAGATCAGTGGCGAGGATAGGGAATGGCTTGGTCAAGCGGTTGTTGCCGACATCAACCCAGTCTTCAATTTTGAATATCTGTCATTCATCTTCAATCATTACGGTGAAGACGGGTCCGCTTACTCATGGCTACTCCGGTTCAAGGATCAGCGCACAGAGGAGAGGTTTCAAGAGGGTCTGATGCAGGCACTTTGGGAACAGTTGAACGAAATGAAATGGAACAAGGTCAAGGAGAATGACCGCGAGTACGTGCTGGATGCTTTCCAGGATCTTACGATGGAGGAACCCGAGACCGAAGAACAGGAGGAGGCCGAGGCCGAGGCCGAGGATGAAGAGGAGGAAGAGCAGGACGAGGGCCAACGCAGCGAGCACTACGATTCAGACGAAGAACAGGAGGATGTCATTACGCGTGACGATGATGGCAATGTCAATTCTCAACTGGCAGTCGGATACAAGCATGATCGATCATTCGTCGTCCGTGGGTCTAAGATTGGTGTTTTCAGGCATACCCCGAACAACAACCTGGAGTTTTCGACCAATATTTCCAAGGTCGAGACACCTAAGGGAAAGCTTTTCAGCCCGAAGAAGGTCATGTTGCATGCTGAGGACCGCAATATGATCCTCCAGAATGGCGATGACCCTCACTCGCTGTACCGTATGGATCTCGAGTACGGCAAGATCGTTGATGAATGGAAGGTGCATGACGATATCCCGGTGACCACATTCGCACCTGAAAACGTAAGTTTACATTCATCTTCGCCTATTCGTCTGACGCTATAGATCGAACTAATGTCTTGCAGAAATTCGCCCAGATGACCTCCGCTCAGCCATTCATTGGTGTCTCGCAGAACGCACTCTACCGCATTGATCCTCGATTGGCAGGAGCCAAACTGGTAGATGCGGACCTGAAACAGTACGCGAGCAAGAACGACTTCTCCGCAGTGGCCACAACTGAGAAGGGATACATTGCTGTTGCCTCCGATAAGGGTGATATCCGCATGTTCGACCGCTTGGGTATCAATGCCAAGACGCACATACCTGCTTTGGGAGAACCCATCATCGGACTGGATGTGTCTGCCGATGGCCGCTGGGTCTTGGCTACCTGCCGAACCTACCTGTTGCTCATCGACTCGCTCCAGAAAGAAGGCAAGAATGAAGGCAAGCTTGGGTTCGAGCGCTCCTTCGCCAAAGATTCGAAACCACAGCCTCGCCGTTTGGGTCTCACTCCTGCACACGTCGCCCAGTTCCAGCATGAAACTAAGAAGCCCATCTCTTTCACTCCGGCGCGTTTCAACACCGGTGTAGACTCTCAGGAGACATCCATTATCACTGCCACTGGTCCTTTCATTGTCACTTGGAGCTTGAAGAAGGTCATTGCCGGCCGGAAAGACCCCTACACCATCAAGCGGTATGGAGAAGATGTCATGGCGGATAACTTCCGGTTTGGCTCGGACAAGAATGTCATTGTTGCTCTGCCGAATGAAGTCAACATGGTCGCGAAGAGGACTTTCCAGAAACCCACTCGGGAAAGCATTGCAGGACCTCCTATGACGCCGAGCCGTCGTAGCACCCGATGGGGCAGTCGATTGGGAAAAGACGATATTGTCAATTCTCCCTACTAGATGTTTTGGGATGTCACACTTGGGATCGCCAGGCTGATGAACTTTCTCTTATCTGTCATTTTATGATTTTGATGTGTTATTGATCGCATACCCCCTGCTGTTGTCCTTTCATTCTTACAATTCTATCTTTCTTCCAGGTTTTATTCACCCATACTGCCTATTCCTCAATTTATAGTTCGGTAATGGCCAATATGACTGTAATGATG